TGTTGGAAACGCTCATTGGAATGCAGTAAAGAAAGTGTTTTAGGTATCTGCAAAAGGCGAAGAGTAACATGCTGGTTTACAAGAGAACTAAAGATTTTTGCAGGATGTCCAGATAATTTGAAGTACGTCGACCTCTAGTTATGTATTCTTGTCGGATGAAGGGGCAGTTTATTAAAGGAGTCAAGGAACAGTTGCAGTTTTATTCTAAAGAAAAGATCAAGGAGAGGCATCTCAAGATAGATTACAAAGATACAAAGTCTATGGTTAGATATCCACTTAATAAAGCTGTGCCAGTAGATGTTTTAAGAGCCATGTTGAAAGGATGAGGATCTTGGCAAGTATTCACGCAGCAGAATAGTGGGAGAAGCAATTCATATATACTCTTCGTCCGGGTTTTCTTATCTCTGCGTTAAGATTGAATTTGGTTTAAATGTACATCAAGTATTTCAGTTTGTTTGATAAATATTATTGATAATCATTTAGTAAGGTTAATTTGTTAAGGAACCATGATTATCAAAACTCAAGAAATGACTAGAAATAGTCTTAAGAGGACCTGTGAATGTTTTTATGTTTAAATGAACATTACTCCCTCTGGTCATACAGTACTTTGTTATAGGACTTTGTTACACTCATGGCCATACAGTACAACTGCGTTTTAGCTATGGATAGAGTGTTAGCCCTAGTGGGAGAATGTAAGCATAAATAAGGGCTTTACACTCATCCTAGTGGAATACAAGTCAAATGCAGAAGTAGAGTCCATTCACAACTCACCTTGTTGCTCATACAGAGTGTAAAGACAGACTAAACATAAGGATATCATATTTTATGTGATAATAAATGCAGAACATGGAGACAAGACTGGGTGCTCAAGAAAGACCTTGACATATTTCTTTAATGGGAAGAAATCTGTGAAGAACACGCCACTTCAGTTATAAATATGATAGGTCCCTGCTCTCTCGATCACACTGCAGAATCCACCCCCTCTAGTCCCATTGATTGTACTGCATAAGGAGATCGTAGAGTTGCAAAAGCATCTGTCATTGAAGCAAGCATACCTTCATCATGTAAGTGATCAAGAGGTATTGTGAGTTTCCTAAAGACTACAGCAGATTTTTTTTTCAGTCTTACACTAGTTTCTTCTGGTGCTGATGCATATTGGAAACTACAATTACTTTCAGACATGGGCATGGCTTCTACTCTAATGTGACTTCTGTTATTTAACCACGTCATTTTGGCCCAGCAGATTTTTGTGTGGGGTGCTGCTGGGTGGGAAAAACAGAGAGGCAAATGGTTGCAGATTCCAGATGGGAAGGAGTTGAGATCATTGTCAGATACTTACATCCAAACTCACCAGAAATATGATTGAAATGGATGAAATAATGATCAAAACCAATATTCTAGATGTAGTTAACTGAAGAACTGGAGTCAAAGTTGTGCTAAAAAAAACGCTGCTCAAGTTTTCGAAAAATGGGCCGCCTAGGCGGGCTAGGCGGGTCCTTTTTTTATATATATAATAAATAGTATAGCCGCTCGGCTATACTATTATATATTTAAAGAGTATAGCCGCACGGCTAGACGTTTTAAATAATATATTTAAACAGAAATTAAAAAAACGCCATTCAAGTTTTCGAAAAATGAGCCGCCTAGGCGGGTCCCTTATTTTAATAAATAAAACGTATAGCCGCTCGGCTATACGCTTTAAATAATATATTTAAAATGTATAGCCGTCCTGCTGTACTCCTTAAATAATATATTTAAAAAGGATCGTGCCACAGCTGTACTCCTTCTGTACTCTCTTCTTCTTTTTTTTCATTAATTTTTTCCCTGATTTTCCTTTATCGTAGTTTACAAAATTATCCATTACTATTATGTCATTATCCGAGTCTCTATTGTACTCTTTTGATTTTTTACTTATTACCCGTATAAAGAATTCAACATTTTCCTATTTAGTACTTATATTATACACATAAGTATTTATTTTTCAATAATACTTTCATTTTCCGTACACGTCTTAAAGACTCGGTGAAATATACTTTCAAAAAATAATAATATATGGGGACAATGAAGCCTTTGGAAGATGAAGATAAATGGGGTATGTTGCCCGTTGGTTGACGGCAAGTTGGAGAGCTGCCAGCCTGTGGAATCCGATTGCATTGTCCCAGCTTGAAAAAAGCCCTTGGTGTGTTCGACTCCAGTTCTTCAGTTAACTGCATCTAGAATATTGGTTCTGATCATTATTTCATCCATTTCAATCATATTTCTGGTGACTTTTGGATGTAAGTATCTGACGATGATCTCAACTCCTTCCCATCTGGAATCTGCAACCATTTGCCTCTCTGTTTTTGCCACCCAGCAGCACCCCACACAAAAATCTGCTGGGCCAAAATGACGTCGTTAAATAACAGAAGTCACATTAGAGTAGAAGCCATGCCCATGTCTGAAAGTAATTGTAGTTTCCAATATGCATCAGCACCAGAAGAAACTAGTGTAAGACTGAAAAAAAATCTGCTATAGTCTTTAGGAAACTCACAATACCTCTTGATCACTTGCATGATGAAGGCATGCTTGCTTCAATGACAGATGCTTTTGCAATGACAGATGCTTTTGCAATTCTACGATCTCCTTATGCAGTACAATCAATGGGGCTAGAGGGGGTGGATTCTGCAGTGTGATCGAGAGATCAGGGACCTATCATATTTATAACTGAAGTGGCGTGTTCTTCACAGATTTCTTCCCATTAAAGAAATCTGTCAAGGTCTTTCTTGAGCACCCAGTCTTGTCTCCATGTTCTGCATTTATTATCACATAAAATATGATATCCTTATGTTTAGTCTGTCTTTACACTCTGTATGAGCAACAAGGTGAGTTGTAAATGGACTCTACTTCTGCATTTGACTTGTATTCCACTAGGATGAGTGTAAAGCCCTTATTTAGCTCAAACGCAGTTGTACTGTATGGCCATGAGTTCACAACAACAAAGTCCTATAATCAAATTCCTGTCGGATGAAAGTATTTATGCAAGACCAGAGGGAGTAATGTTCATTTAAACTTGAAAACATTCCCCAAGATCATGTACACAAATCTTTCATCTACACGGAACGCCATCAAGATATGAACTCATCAAGTTTCATATAAATCTGAATTCTGTAAAATATACTTGAAATTGTAATGAAACATCCACAGGTCCTCTTAAGACTATTTCTAGTCATTTCTTTGAGTTTTGATAATCATGGTTCCTTATCAAATTAACCATACTAAATATTATCAATAATATTTATCAAACAAACTGAAATACTTGATGTACATTTAAACCAAATTCAATCTTAACGCAGAGATTTTTGGAAAACTTGAATGTCGTTTTTTCTTAGATTTCTTTTTAAATATATTATTTAAGGCGTATAGCCGGTCGGCTATATGGTTTAAATATATAATTTAAAGTATATAGCCGAGCGGCTATACTATTTATTATAAATAAATAAAAGGACCCGCCTAGCCCGCCTAGGCGGCCGATTTTTCGAAAACTTGAATGGCGTTTCTTTTTTCATAATTTCGACTCCAGTTCTTCAGTTAACTACATCTAGAATATTGGTTTTGATCATTATTTCATCTATTTCAATCACATTTCTGACTTTGGATATAAGTATCTGACAATGATCTCAACTCCTTCCCATCTGGAATCTGCAACAATTTGCTTCTCTATTTTTCCCACCCAGCAGCACCCCAGACAAAAATCTGCAGGGCCAAAATGACTCACATTAGAGTAGAAGCCATGTCTGAAAGTAATTGTAGTTTCCAATATGCATCAGCACGAGAAGAAACTAGTACATTCAGAGTGTTCAAGAAGGCAAGGCTAGTGACTCTAAGCCACTCTTCGGTTTCCATAAATTAGGATGAACCTTGGAAGTTTGGGTAATAACTACAATTTTTTAGAGTATTCGAAGTGGATTTTGGTATCCATTTTGGGTCCATATTGTCTGAATTGTGAAGTGATTGGCAATTCTGGTAAGTTGGTGCCACAGGAAAAGCCCTGAAGGATTGCTGTTGGTATCGGTGGCAGCTTCTTTGGTCCTCTTCAAACAAGTCTCTTTAAATAAATAAATAAATAAATAAATAAATAAATATAAATAAATAAATAAGGGTTTTGCCGGCCAGCCATACTCTAAATATATTATTTAAGAAGTACAGCCGCGCGGCTATACCGTTTAAATATATTATCTAAGACGTACAGCCGAACGGCGATACCGTTTACATATATTACTTGAAAAGTACAGCCGCGCGGCTATACGGTTGGCATATATTATTTAAAGAGTATAGCCGTACGGTCATACCTTTTAAATATATAATTCCACGAGTATAGCCGCATGGGTATACTGTTTATAAAATAAAATAAAATGGACCCGCCTAGCCCGCCTAGGCGGCCGATTTTCGGAAAACTTGAATCTAAGCTCCATACAAACTGAAAATCAGTATTTTCCTTTTCTGTTTTGGTTTCTGTTATGTTTGGTTGCTAGGAAGCTGATGATGAACAAATATTCTCTTACAAACTGAGTTGGTCTGGTTAACTGACCCAAAAGGAGTATGCTGCTTTCTGGGGCTCCAATTGTTGAGTCATCTCTTCTTTTGAATTTTTTTCTTTTTTGTCAATTCTCAGTAATGTAATCTGGGTGAAATGCTGCTTTTGGATCCATGAGATGGGCAAAAAGAGTAAATCAAAAACTCCCAGAGAGATGCAAGATAATACAGCTGCTGTAGAAGAAGAAAAACACTCACCTTCGGCCAAAAAATTGCTGAATCATTGGTTGAGGATCAGTTCAGGTTTACCATATATATTTTGGTTTTAATTTATGTTTCAATTACTGGGCATATGAAGTCTCATCTGATCCTACTTTCTGCAACAGGAACATTTGAGGGTGATCCTGAGTTACTTGTTTTATGTGTCATCTTCAGGACATGAGTTCAAGAATGCATAAACATGAAATGGATGGGGACAGGGAGATCCATTGGTTGACTAGTTGTACCCATCTTTCCATATTTTCATTCAATTTCAATGGTAACATGTTTTGTTAGATCTCCATAGTCGGATCTGTATATGGGATTCAACCTTCCTAAGTAGCATCTCCAGGTTCACCTAAAACAAACATAACACTTAATAGTGAGTTTGATGGGATACTGTTGGACTACTCGGCCTGCAACAGTAGTGGGCATGGCAACCGCAGACATGTGACTTTGGCCGGGATCAGTGACAGTTGATTTTACCTAAACAAATGAAAGAAAACCAAGGTCAAGAAACACAAGTTCTATTATGTAAATCTGTACATAAATTTGATTGTCAATAACCTCTATAGCTGTAGCCACAGAAATGCAATCAAAAGTTAATAATAACAACTATGCAATGTGTAGAATGACGACACACTTCAAACATAAATTAGAGGGTACCAGTACCCAACAACATCACTTGAAGAACTAAAATAAAATACCTGGGCTCTTTGCATCATTGAGAGATACTTCTCCCAGAGAGAGCTCATCTTGTGTTACAGATAAATTTTTGGCTCAGCTCAGCAGAAGAAGTTGGAAGTGGATTTGATGTTGCTTGTGAAGGCTACGTACATAAGGTTAGAGCAATCTTAGAAGAAACCAGAAAGACTAAACAAAATCTTGTTTTAAAAAAGAAAAAGAAAATCAGCTAATGTGGCTGATGAGCAGGAAACATTGGTTAATGAGGACCAATATGAATAGAATTTCAGTTTACCAGAAAATATCTTACTTGCAAAATGTTCCCAGTCCATAGAGACAAAGACAAACAGTCCTGCCATTCACAAACATGATCAATGAAAAGGGTTTTAATAACTGGATTTGGACAAAAATCAGTTAGTGTAGACATCGAGCAGGATCATTGGTTAATGAGGACAAATACTTAGGAAAAATAAATTTATGTCACAGAACACATCTTACTTCCAAATTGTTTTCAAATGGTAGAGGCAAAGGAACATTTTCCTGTGGTTCACAAACATGATCAACGAAAAGAGTCTTAATGACTGGATTTGGAGGAGGGTCTTTACACTGTTTATGCTGCCAATTCAAGCTGTCAAGTTAAACACACAAGTCAGTCTCCCTCCCAATTACAAAAAACAGAAAGTGACTAAATCTTTAACTAAATATGAGAATAACAAGTACTCTCTCTCACACACAAACGCGCACACACATATGTATGAACATATGCAATCACAAAATAGAAAGGAAGACCAAAACTAGAGAGGAAGCATTACCTTTGGTTAATGCTTGGATACTTCAGTTTGCCTCGGAAAACTGGTTTTGCCTCAATCATTTGCCTGAGTTCTTTCATCATAGTCTTCCTCATAGACATTATATCTCCACACATAGAGAGTGCCTTATGATCCCTGTTGGATTGAACCCATACACATGTGATGCATTTCTTTGAATAGCTCCTCATTACCTTCGGCGATAACTTTGAGATCCTTCATGAGGATATCTAACGCCTTGGCGCGACAATTGCTGTCAAGAATGAACCAAAAACATGCAGAACATGGTATTTTTTATAGAGATTGTTTATGTATAGATTATAAGAAGCTTTAAAAAAATGATGTTCATTTTGCTTTCTGATATGGAAATAGATCTTCGTCGAGTAGCGATTGTCATCGAATTTCATGAAACCAGAGAGGTACCTCTCTGCCTCATCCCATTTCCCACTAAGAACAGTGTCCTCAAAGTAGTTCATGTCAAAGTAAAATCCACTTTGACTCTCTCAAGCCTGTACATCAATTCCCAAAATGAATGATATTGATTCACAAACAAGAATGTCTTATTAATAAACAGAGATAAAGAAACTTACATGTGGGCAGCTTCTTGATAACCTCCCTCATCACAAAACTGTAAGCTTAAGAAAACAAGATCTTTCTTGAGATTATACATCCCAAGGATTAAACACAGAGCCAAGCAACAGATGACAATTCTTTCCTCTCTCTTTTTTTTCTCACAAACCAAACAAAATATTGAGATTGCATCAAATCCAAAATTAAACCCAAGCAGAGGAAAGAGTAATTTAGATGTCACACATTCAAAACCATTTCCATCTATTTGTAAAAGGCTAACAAGAAACCAAGATTACGAAAAAAAAATAATTAAGAAATTAAAAATATAAAAAGCAGGGGTTTTTTCAGAAGCGCACCTCAAAGCTCAAGAACACAAGAAATTATATTACGTTTAATTAACTGATAAGTACGAGAATATAAGTACGCTGACTTATATAATCTCATGCTGGCTGTGGTACAGCATGACAATGACTTGTTGATAAGCCCATGGACTTATATAAGTACATTTTGAGGCTCAGCTTTTTCCAAGCTATTGTCCGAAAATGGTGGGTCCCGACTTTGGTGCGATTAGAAAGGTGGCCGTAGGCAATTTTACACGCGTTTGTCATGCCGGAGTGCATTATCATTTTTATGTGTTTTTTCTGTAATTTTTTTTTAATTTTCCTGTAGACTTTTTTGTTTCTGTGCATCTCCAACGGAGTTGTCAAATACCAAATATAAAATTTAAATTTGATGACTGATGTGGTAATTTGACATCTTACATAGCTTTACACTCTATCCGATATGTCAAATTAAATTATTATTTTATTACATTTTGGTGTTGATTTATTTTTAATTAAAAATAAATAAAATAATAAAATATTCATTTGACATCTTGCTTTTGGGATGTCAAAAATAACATCTCAACCTCCAGCATTCATTCCACATTAGCTTTGACACATCGATTGGAGTGATGTGAGATGTTATTTCTAGCCATTAATATCTATGTGATACTTTTGACACATCAGTTGGAGATGCTCTTATACGGCAGAATATGTCACTTTAAATTCCTTTTGTCCTTTTCATTTGTTTACAAGAAATAATAATAATACACTATGGGGGAATTCCTTTTTTTTCTTGGGTATTATCTTTCATGACTACAAGCAAAATTTGCTTTCAATGTGCAAATGACCTTTTTTTATTATTATTATTTAGGCTAGTGTTACCTCTCTTCTCTAGAAAGTTTTGATTTTGTCTAGGCTAGGCCCAAGAAGATAGTTGCTCTAGTTTCTTGGGCTTTGTTTCTCCATATCATATTTCAACTTTATCCAAGAGTTTTAAGGGTTTTATATATGACCCTTAGGTGAGATCCTATCTTTTAAACGTTGGATCAAATTGGTTAGTCTAATCCAACAGTTAAGAGATATGACCTCACCTAAGAGCCATATATATAAGGTCCTCACTCTAGAATGACTCCAACTTTACCTTTCTAATCAGGAGTGCAAATAGTATTTTTCTTCAAAATTACAATGTGGGCCAGACAAAACCATGTTGATCATTATGAAGTTTTTTTAGTTTCTTGGGCTTTGGCCCTTCATGTAAACCAAAAAAGAAATTTAGTTTTTTTTTCTTTTTAATAGGGAGTGCAAATAACCTTTCTCTAAAGAAATTATGAGAAATTATAGAATAGTACAGTCATACAGCCATGTAATATAGTTTTTATACGTGTTATAATGTGGGTGAACGACATGGTTGATATTTCCCCTTTTTTTAAGAATAATATTAATAAATATCTACTTATATTACAACACGTGGACAAGCTATACCATGTGACCTTACTACTTGTATTTAAATGAAATTTTCGTACATTACTAATTTAGAAGTTATGTATGGCAGGTTCATGATTTGATGGCAACGTATTCATTGTGGAACAACTCAACCATGCATGTACAAGCACAACACATACTCATGCTTTCATTTGGCAATTGCCATCCGCTATTTATCCAGCTTTTCATTGAAAACTATATACAAAATTAAACTACCATAATTCATTGAATTCTAAAGTCACAAATGGTCTGGCAAATTACAAACTAATGTACTAATTAAGACAAAAATTTATGGTCCTAGGCATGTGTCCAAAATAAAAATCAAATGACCGACCAAACTAAATATTTAGCCTCCTAATTATATGAATCCTCGTGGAATAAGCATTAAATGGCCCGGTCCACAAAGTAACACTGTAAGGGGCAGAGGATCTTGCCCTGCTGGAGAAGCTGCCGGAGCTGCTGGAAGTGGCGGAGGCAGAACTGGCATAACTGCTGGAAGTGGCGGAGGAGGGAGTACTAGATCGGCAGGGCCACGGCCACCACTGGCATTGGGAATTCGATATCGAATTTTTCCACTCAGCAGTGGATTGGCCTCTAAACATCTCCTTACATCCATCATTTCCGAGGTTCTTGCCATGACGGGTTCTCCATATTCCTGAAGCCCTTCGTAGGTCCTATACATCCAATCCCAAAGCCAAATATATTAGATAATCAATTGAGATGGTACAAATAGCAGCGACCGGTTCTTATACCTGAAATTCTCCAGGTTCATGATCTCGGTCCCCCGCTCAATCAGGTTTGGATTGTAGAGGAGGAAAGTGCTGAGTTCTTCATGGAGGATGGTGTGAGCCTCATCACGGTTGTTCCTGCGTGCGCAGCAAAAGTATGTAAATAAAATTAACATTTTATATAATTATTAATTAATTAATTAAAAATAAAAGGTGAATTAGTAAGTTAATTACTCGTCTACTGCTTCCAAAAACTTGTGCCAACGAAGCACAAAAACGACGTTGGTCGAGTACATGTTGTCATGCACTGTGGTGAAGCCGTTGAAGTATTCCTCTGCCTCATCAAATGCTCCATGAATGAAGCATTCTTCAAAATAAGGCAGGCAGAAGAACAATCCAGACTCCCGCTCCAGGCTACATGTGTATAAAATAATTCATGCAATTAGTAAATTATGAGCCAAATATTGAGATCATGAATGTAGATTAAAAAAAAAGGAAAGACCAACCCTCAATAACAAGGGCATTGACAATCATCTAACAACAGTCTCTCACACATAGATGACTGCTGTCTATGACATTAGGCTTAAGGAAAAATAAACATGGGAAAGGAAAACTCACGTGCGAGCTGCTTCTCCAAGGTTATGGCGGTCAAGGTATTGGAGGACGGAGTAAATCGCCTCTCCATGTGAATTATTAGCAGCCATATCTTCAGTAGCCTTTGCTTTGGTTCATAAACATAAAAAGAAGTCAAGGATCAGAACATATCATTATAAAAATGAGCCAAAAAATGTAAAATGATATCATTCACAACCAAAAAAATTGTAAAATCACATCGTCCACAACAACAAAAAATTAAAATCATATCATCCGCACAAAAAAAAAAGTGAAATAATCTCATCCACACCAAATTGTAACATAAAATCTACATGCATGCTAGAATTAAAATCAAAGCGAGTAGGGTTTGTGGAGCTAATGCTCTAGTGCCGAAGCATTTTATACGACACTCACGATAAGAACTCTACTCTCACCAACCACATTTTGAAATTAATTAAGACGAATCCGATTGGTAAATCCTCAAAAAAAGTAAAAAATCTATCTTTCTAAGGGAAGAGTGTGAATAAATTTGGTGAAAATATAGCAAATTTAGGCGGACATTGTAATAAATGGGAAGGAAATAAGAAATAGGGCCCATCTTTCTACATGAAAGAGAACAGATTTTCTTAATTAAAACAAGAAGAAGAAAAAAGGAGAGTAGGGAATTGGCTCTCACTTCTCAAATTCTCTGAAAATGATATATGCTTCTCTTCACTCTTGAGCTGAAGCTAGGACTCTCTCACTCACTGCATGAAATGGGTTGGTGAGAGAGAAGGGCTCAATTTATAGAGGGGCTAAGGGTATCATAACCAACATATTGTTTGGGTTATGCACGTGAGGGATTATTTGGTAATTTTCCTTTTCAGACATAATCTGTGGGCTGTCCACCACCAGGCTCAGCAGGGGCGTTTGCAAAACGCGCTCTGGAAAAGTGAAAATGATGCAACACATGCGTTCTCATTTTTTTTATCATGCACTCTCCCAAAATAACCGACGGATTAAAATATCAAATCCGTACGATATTATAATAGTCAAATATGTAGAACATAGTGGAGTCGTCAAATCCGTACGATATCAAATGCGTTCTCTTTTTTTTTATCATGCACTCTCCCAACAATTGGAGTCGTCACATAACCTTTTGCTTGATAAATTTATATATTATAAACTAGTTGAACTTTACTGAATAAATTAATTTAAAATATCTTAAGAAAATTCTTGCAATTGATATTTTCAAAAATATGCAACACATATTTAATGACTCGAATATATACATTTGAATATTATCGTTAGGTCTCGCGTGAAGTTCACGATCGAGAAGCACGTGAAAGGACATAGTACAACAATAAGTCGATTAGTTTCTAATATTAGTTCATTACAACATTTCAAAGATTCAAAATCTACGAGTATCAATAATTAATCCTTTTCGAGGTTACTAATACGCATACAATTATTCAAGAAAATAAATAACAAGTCAGTTGAAGTCGGCAAACCAATTCAAATATGAAGTCAGCCAACTGAGCCAATAACGAGCTTCGTTGCCTTCAATTTATTTTAACAAATTTCTAAAGCTAAAACCTACCCAAATTTACCAATATATAAATATCTTTCTTCAATTTCCTTCTGTCAAATTCATTTTTTTAATTAGATGATACTATAATGGTAGCTTATAGCCCCTACTAAAACAATTTCTTTCAACAACAAATGAATTTCAATGTATTGGAATAAACTTAACCAAGTTTCGTTCTCTTCATCAAATTCAACTTTACATGCATTCTAAGTAATTCGCCTCATCTTTGGTTACAAATTATGGATTAACGGTGAGTTCTTGTATATATAACAAATTATTTTATGCATAATATACCCACACTCAAAAAAAGGAAAAAGAAATGCATAGAGTCCATGTTAGTTGTGTGAGTCTAACCACAGTGTAACATTAACTCCTTTTTTTACTCTTTCTAAGGTGTGAATGCTGCTAATGTAAAGAACTTGAGTTGGCGAGAAGTGTGAACGTGTCATACCAATCAATACATGGAAGGCATTCTGGGGTGCTTTGGCGCGTCAGGGCCATTGGATTTAACAGTTGAAAATGCTCTTAGGTTAGATTTACCTACCATAAACGTAAAACCATGTCACCAAATTAGGTTCAAATTAGTTGTAAATTGCAAGTTGTGCCACTAAACAAATTAGGAAATATGTAAAAATTTCCCAAATTGTTTAATGAGAAATTAATTTTTCCATACCACCAAACTCATTACCATTTATGTAAAAAAGTTGTATGGGAAGAAAAAAGGGGGACGAACCCAACCTTATCTCGGTTGCATTTGACTTGTATAAAAGGAGGAAAGGAAATTTTCCTTTTGGAAAATAGACTTTCTTTTTTAGTCTATTGTGTTTGAGAATGGATAAGACTATGGATTGGGGTATTTTATTGACACTCCCTATCTCTTGAAACCACCTACTTAAAATTTTTATCCCAAATTCAAGTTTTGCCATCTCTTACTAAAGTCGTCTCCACTTGTAATATTTCATCCAAAAGCCGAAAATCTCAACAACCCCAGCCCGGCCACCCCAAAACCCAACCATCCTCCATCACCTGCTTGAGTCACTGGTGTGGGCTGATGCCGGCAATGTAGGAGATGAGGGATCAGTGGCTTTCGATTGGTGGTTGGGGCTCGGTTCTTCTTCTTTGTTTTTTTTTTTTTTTTTCTTTTTTCTTTTTTCTTTTCAATTTTTTGGGTTTTTAATTTTATTTTATTATTGAATGATAAAATTGAAATTTAGGGAAATTTTTTTGAACTAAAAAAATTAAAATTAAAGTCAATTGGTGGTGTACTTTCTTTCAAAAAGCAAAATAAATAAATAAAGAAGGTGTAGTGGCTAATCAATATGATATATCATATGTGAGAGCACTAATTCGAAGAAGATGCATTTTCGTTTTGAGTGAAACATAGCTAAAATCATTTTCAAATTACACTTTTATCATTCCACACATGACTTCTCTCGGAAAAAAACAAAAATCATTCTACACGCGACTAGTACATAGCAAATAACTTTATACTCAATTACTAACTTTTTCATACAAACGATATTCTATTTTAATCTAATCTACATTATATGAGGAGGAGAATTCAAACTCAGGTGCAAGTGGGAAGCACATTCGCTCTATCCAATTTGGCTAAGCCCATATCTGCGACTCAATTACAAACTTAATTTCAGCAAAATAGTTATTTCAAATATTGAAATTTTACATACTAAAGTAGAACCGGATCCAAATTAACAATCACAAATGTAATTTGTTCTATTTTCTTTCTTCCACTTTCCAACTACAAAAAAGTATTTTTTGCCTTGAATATTCCTCTCCAAAATCTATTGTTTAGTTTTCTTTTTCGGATTTGATGTCAATGGTAGACTATATAATTATGGTTTTATAAGTAAAAACTCAGCTGGCTGAGCTGCTTGCTTTGGTGGGGCTAATGGTAGAAAGCCACCTAGATATAGTTTGAGTTTGAAGCTAAATTATAAGGAGTTTCTTTAATTAGTATGGAGAAGAAAAAAAGAAGTGATAAATTTGAATCCAGATTATTGGTGCGCGCTTGCAATATATTAACGTGGAATCAACTATGTTCTATTGGCTTTTTCTTAAGATAAATGTATGCATCTTAAGTTTTTTAATAGTTTAATTTAGTTTTATAGATTTAAATAGTTTAGTTTTGTGCTGCATTGCATTAATTTGTTTTTAAATTTTATTTTTTTGTTAAGTTTTTATTTATGTATAGAGATGCATATCTGAGGGTAAATCTCATTACGTTCTCCCCGACTAAATGTATCTTTTTATTTTTATGAATTAAATTCATTCATACCGTCGAGTTTTTAAGGTAAGTTTCGCCTACCTGACTTTTGAATTCTGGATCCGCCACTGGTTAGAGATATGGAGAGAATATTTTCCTTTTGAATGAAACGTAGTGAAACTAATCTTAAATTTATACTTTTATCCTTTCGTATCACTAGTACATACGTGCATGTAATTTTACGTCAAACCAATTTGACGAAAATAACTTTGGACTCAATCACAAATTTAACTAAATTATAAGACTATAAAAGTATTTAAATTTTAAAATTTTAAAAAAAATGTAATTGGGTATTTATTTTTCCTCTACTTCCAACAAAAACAAAAAAAACATTTTTCACGAATACTATATGTTCTTTTGTAGGAAGAATAGTTTTTATCACTGAGCAAAAGTTCTTCAATCAATGAAATTGTACTTGGTTTGGAAATAGAAATGAAAATTAACTAAGAAGCTTCCAAAAATATCTCAAATTCCGGCACAAATAAAAACCTTATTAATTAAACCACATAAGTTCAAAAAACAAAACAAAGAAAAAAAAACAAATTTTTTTTTTGAGAAACAAAGCGTTCATTAAACAAAGGGATTAAAAAAAAACACGAACCCTAAACCCTCCTATTCCTTGGACAGCAGCAGGGAAGATTCCCATTCATCCTCAAATTCCCATTTCCCTGCGGCCCTGATCCAGCTGATGCTGATGACTGAGCTGCTTGAGCTGGTGGAATCACTGGTAGAAAACCACGAAAATTGGGAGACCCCACCTGGTACCGAAGCTTCCCGGCTAGCCGCGGATTGGCCTTCAAGTATTTCTTAATATGTTCCCATGCTGCCCTTCTCTCTAGTTCTGGGTCTCCAGGCAGCCCTTCGAATGACCTACACATCAAAACTCATCATTTATGTACGTAAAATCGAAAATTTAATAATGTCTATACAGTGTTGCAACATGTTTACTTTGTGACATTAGGACTCTGGATCTCATATTCGGACAAACGTTTGACTGTAAGGCTGAATTTGCTAGTATATTTTGAAATGGATTCCCAATGACTATATACAAGGAATTATCTGAAATTTATTTATTTTTTAAAATTTGAAATTCATAAGAATCTAATTATATGATCAAATTGTATTGTAAAAGAATATTTTTGTATGTACGTGTGTATTAATAATTGAAATTGAGTATTTTTATACCTGAATTTTTCAAGATCAAATAGCTCAGTCATCTGAGCGATTATATTAGGATTATACCGCTCGAAATCCTTAAACTCTTCGAGAATGGACTTTGCATCATCATATCGCTTACTGCGCATAAACGTAGTACATAATAAGAACATGAACACAACAATGTTTCTAAGGTTAGAAACTTAGTTAGTAATGAAGATTAATTATCAGAGACATTAATTGATTACTTATCCATGGCCTCCAAGAACTTGTGCCACCGGATCTCGTGGATGATACGAGTTGAGCAGTGGTCATCGTGCACGGTTGTGAAACTGCTCACATACTCCTCCGCTTTCTGAAATGCTCCTCGGATGAAGCAGTCCTCAAAGTAGTTCAGGTTAAAGAACAATCCTGATTCCCTCTCCACCCTACATATATATAGGGTACAAATTTATATCATATGAGAGAAAAAAAAATACAAGCAAGAAAGTTGAACCCAGAGGACAAAGGTAGTCGTGCTTCCACATGTCAACATTGACAATTTTAGTTATTAACGTGTGTGTGAGATCTACATAAGTTAATGAATGGCAATTAATCATCTCATACACGTACACAATTGTTGTTCTTGACAATAAGGGGAAATTAAATTAGGAAAAGAAAACCCACATGCGTGCAGATTCATGTAAATTAGCTCCCTCGAGAAATTGTATTATGGAGAGAATATAGTCACGATGGGTACCAGCCATTTGCGAAATATTTGTGATAGGCCTGTCAAAATGAGCCAAAAATCAGTAAATCATATTAGCAAACACACACACATATAGAAAAAAAATCTGAAATATAAGATAATATTTGTCTAAGTAGCTAGAATTGAAGCAAAACAAATAGGATTTTGAGAAGGCGACATCATGGAAAACCCAAAACAGATTTGATATGCTGGAAACAATGGCTGGTCTAGAAAGGTATTGTTATTAAAAAGATGTAGCAAGAAATGGAGCTCAAATTCTATATGAAGATAGCAACTTTCTTAATAAAATGAGAAATTTACAGAAATGTTGCACCCAAAAAGAACGAAAAAACAAAAGGAGAATTTGCTCTTACTTGAAAACTCCCTTCGGCCAAGATTGCTCTAACACTGCATCAAATGGCTTGGGAGAAGAAGCATCCAATTTATAGGAGAAGCAGCATCCAATTTATCATGGCCCCAACAGAGGAGGGACTATTTGGTCATTGTAATGACCTCCCGAGGGATACATCCATGTGGGTCCCACGCCAGTGCATGACAAGGCTATTCACATTTCCATGTGGGGGCGTTACG